TAACTTATCGAATTCGGCCGAAATTATCATCGGCAAATTTTTTTAGGTGTCCCAGAATTTATGAAAACAGCTGTAAAGTATGTATGCAGCGATCACAAATCGGAATTTTGGGGTGAATGATCGGATGGCCTAAAAATATTAAAAAGTATCGATTCGAATAATTGGGTTGTAATTGTTATTTCCGTAAAAGTTAAATGTTTGTTTAAATATTTCTTATTCATTAATACTAGTTCTCTAGCTCTTCACGATCGAATAAAAAAACACTTCGGAAGCTCTATTTTTTTATTTTATATTTGCTGTATAATCACGAAATAACGCATAAGGACTGAATTAAGCTTAATTAAGCTGAAATTTGAAACCACACCCCATCACGTTATTTCGTGGTTATATGGTATTTTTTAAAATTTTTGCTTTTTTTATATATTCATTTTACTAGTGACATTAAAGGGGAGGGGTGATACAGTATTAACTGAAAAATTAACTTCAAACGGCCTTATGCACATGTTTTGGAATCATGCGCATTTTATCCCATCTATAGGAAAAAAAAAAAAGAGACAAATTTCAAAAAAAGCGGGTTAAAAAGAAAGAGAAAGACAAAATAAAAAAAATTAGCTTAGAAAAAAAAAGAAAAAAAAACTTAAAAAAAAAAAAAAGGATTTTTGGCTATTTTTTCGATGTGATGGATCATTTTCAAAAAAAAAAGAACCTGCATTGATTTTCAATTTGCTGTCCTCGTTAGAAAATTTAATTCAAGTATACGATATATTTTCTTATTGTTTCAACTTAACGTGACATTGCTAATCTTCGTTAACCGTAATTTGAGTGATTTTGCTACGGCGTGGCTAACTGCGCCACCAATCAATAATTAACATGATGATGTTATACATATGTACGTACACAATTTTTGTTTCTAGTTCTGCCGTTCCGACCTGGCTTTCCGGACAATTATTCGATACCAACTTGTACACATTTTCCAGGTGCGGTCAAATAAATCAACATCGTAATCACTCCCACGTTTAATTATCAAAATTATCAATTTTTGTATTTGTTTTATTTCTTACGTAACATAAATTTTTTTTCAAATACAATATTGCGCTATATGGTAATTAAGGAGAATAAAAATAATCCTATGTGTGAAATTTATTTTTATTCTAAAAAAAATTGATTTACAAAATTAATCAAGTTCTTATTATATATTGAATTTTATAAAGCAAAATAAAACCTCATCATTTATTAATTTTATTAATCACTGTTTATCAGAAGTTGCATATACATAAAATAACGGTGGTGCATTACTATTCACACTCGTTTCCCACATTGTCTTGGTTAGGTAATCAAATTAACAGAATTCTCATTATTATTGCTTGTGCCTGGCAAAAGCTATTGCTGGTCAATAGATTCAACTTCCTCACTAAAAGGTGAAGCAGGTTTATTCCTATTGCAATGAATAGAGCACCCTAGACAATTTCTACTTCTCAACGGTTCCTACGTTCAGTAATATTTGAGAAAGTGAGGAAGAAAATAATAATAGTGACGTTTAAAAATTTAAGTAAAATTAAATGCTATAATTTTCTATTAATATTTAGCTTATACTTACAGATCTATGCCGCTTTTTTCGTAATTGTCCATAATTATAATTTACAGACCTTTTGTTGCGTAGGCTGTATTTGGGCCTTTTGCTGTGTAAGTTGTGTTCTCTTGATGGTGGCAGTGTTCTTTTTCTCCTGATTCTTTTTCGACCATTATCATTATTAATTTATTTGAACTGCCTTTATGATTTTGTAAAGTTTCTACAACCTCCGCATTATTATTATCATCATAACTAATGCTATACGATAATTGTTGTTCATTTTGATTTGCTACAACATATAAATCGGTATCATTGTTATTATTTGGTAATTGTTCTTTATTTCTTAAAATTTTTGTGATAGTATTTGTAATTACCAGAAGCGCCTAATAATGTTTCCAGGTTATTATTACTGGCGTTATGTGGTAATTGCTCATTCTGATGGGTTGCTATGACATATAGGCCATCATCGTTGTTATTATTTGGTCCTGTGATAGTATTTGTAATTAAATTTGAACCGGAAACAGATTGATTATCTAATAATGTTTCCAAATTATTATTAGTGTCACGTAATAATTTTTTTTCATTTTGATGGGTTGCTATGATATATAGGTCTTCATCTTCATCTTCATTATTTGGTCTTGTGATAGCATTTGCAGTTAAATTTAAATCAGAAATAAATTGATTATTTAATAATGTTTCCAGATTATTAGCGTCACGAAATAATAGTTGTTCATTCTGTTGGGTTGCTACAATATATAGATCATCATCATCTTCATAATCATTATTTGGTCTTGTGACGGCATTTGCAGTTAAATTTAAATCGGAAATAGATTGATTATTTAATAATGTTTCCAGATTATTAGCATCATGTAATAATAATTGTTTATTTTGATGGGTTGCTATAACATATAGGTCATCATCATCATCATTGTTTGGTCTTGTGATAGCATTTGCAGTTAAATTTAAATCGGAAGCAGATTGATTATTTAATAATGTTTTCAAATTATTACTAGTGTCATGTAATAATTGTTGTTCATTTTGATGAGTTGCTACGACATATAGGTCATCATCATCATAATTTCGTGGTTGTACTTGATTTGTTGAAATTTCATTAACTGTTGAATTTGAACTGGAAGTATTATGAATTGCTACAACATATAGGTCATTATTATCTTCGTAATTAATATTATTTGATCGTCTTTTATTTATTAAAGTTCTTGTGCCATTATTTGTAGTTGAATTTGAACCAGAAGCAAATTGATTATCTATTTTTAAAGCCTTACTTTAGTATTTAAATTGTATTGATAAAATGCAACATTAGTTTATAATTACTATCATTATTTAAATCTTGTAGCAATGGTGTTCTTTTCTTTCTGATTCGGTTTTGACCACTATCATTATTAATATCACCCGGATTATCATTATAGTACTCTACAGCTTCCATATTATTATCTTCATAAATAAGATCGTGTAAAATTTCTATATTATCATCATGTAATAGTTGTTTATTTTGATATGCCACTACAATATATAAATCATCATCATTTTCGTAATTATTATTATTTGATTCATTCAATGAGGTTGTGATAATATTTGTAATCGAATTTGAGCCAGAAGCAAAATCAAAAGCAAAGCCAGAAGCAGAACCGGAAGCAGATTGATTATCTATTTATTGAAGCTTTAGTATTTAAAATCGTAATTAATAAATTTAATATTAATTCAAAATTACCGTTATTATTTAAAAACTCCATTTCTTCTGAGGTATAAATCGTAATTTTTGAAAGTTCATCATTAGCTATTTTTATTCTATTTCTTACAACCAAAAGAATTTGTAATATATGTTTTCTCTTATTTTTGTAATCTAAAAGATTTTTTCTCTTTTTTTTTTTTTAACAATAAATTTATTAGTTATTTCTAGAAATAAAAGCGATTTACCATTACTAAAAGATTTTTTTTTCAATAAACAATAATAAACATTATTTACTTACAATATTGCATTCTTGAATTACATTATTCCAATATTTTTCTAAACCAGGTTTATATCGTAACTGTTCTTCATTAACCTATTACCCAGGTAAAAAAAATATGTGCTGAGTTTTTTATTTTAAGTAAAAAGAAAGTACATAATAGTTTTTTTTTTAAAAATAGACCTTTATTAATAACAAAAAAAGAATACCCAAATAGAGAACTATGGAGTGGCTACCACGTTGTCTATTCAGTACTTCATCTAGGCAAGGTTATCGACTAGAGGTTTCTCTTTTTTTGCAAATAAAAATCACACACCTTTTCTTTTAACTTCTTATCTAGTTTGTCCGCCTCTTTCAGAAAACAACCTCCCCAAAAATTATCATAATTCTGCCAAAAAGTTATTATTGAAGAAGACAATATCGAATCAACAATCTTTTTTTTATAACGAAGAAGGAAATCATAATATGTTCTGTTTTGAAATTCTCTAAGATAGGAAGTAAGTTCTTTATAACCATCATATGTTTCAACAATATTAGTCATTGTGATTCTTTTAATTGAAGATATTAAGATTATGTTCTATTTATTAGTTTAACGCGTTATATATGTACCTGAATTTTTATTAGCCAGTAATTATGTGTGCTTTTACTAATTTTCTATTGGCTGTATTATGTAAACAATATGTGACGATCCTTTTTAAATTTGATATTTTATATCTTCTAGCAAAGGTTTCTCAACGACTATGTAATTAAATTTAATAAAAATTTTTGGTTAAATTCTACAAACTTGTGAAATATGAATCCGATGAAAAGCTTTCCCATTCAAGATATTGTAAAGTTATAGGTAATGCTTTAGCTGTCTGTATAACCAATGATTTTTCATCTGACTCGTCATAATACAACTGTCGTGCCTGAAGTTGACACTTGCCTGAAGTTGCACTTGCCTAAATTGGGTTAATTTCAGTCAAGTGCAACTTCAGGCACGACAATACCATTTCAATGTGAAAAATTGAAGTTTTTGGAACTTGAGCTAAACATATGTATGAAATGTATAGGTATGAATAGGTTTGAACAGTCATAAGCGCGTCTAGTAACGCCGTTTGTGATTCAATTCCTTCTTCTGAATCAAGCTTTAGTCGTTGTAGTAATGTTCACACTACCACGAGAAGTTTTTTTGGTTGACTTAGGCATTTTCCGCCAATTACTAATAGCAAATTTCTCTTCAATA